ATTTCGATATGTAGACAAATTATTGGAAAAATTGATGCGATATTTCATTGTCAGCTTCAAGTCCTCAACATTATTATAGAATCATATTTTTATCAAACATCTCGAGAGAAAAATAATTATAAATTTAATTATAACATTAGAAATAATATTTTTAACAGTATTTAAAACCAATCGATATTTGAACATCATACCAGCTGAAGAATGACTACCACATTAGTACTTAAATTGGCTCCATGCTACCTGAAATCGACCATTCTGATCTTCAGAGGGAAGGCATTCCTGATCGAATTTATCGCCTCTATTTTCTCTCTTTAGCAAAGATCGACCCAGTTTCTAGACAAGGAAACTACGTCGCGTTGGACAGCTCTTGCAAAGAGGATAAAAGAGTGACGCAAGGCTGAGTTAAGAGTGTAAATGTAATTTAGAGAGCGAGGCTTCCAACACCCATACATTGGGGTCATATGCTCATAATGCTGAGCTTAGCTGGCTCTCCTCACCACATTGGTGTCGCCGTGCTGTTTATGGGTGGCATTTTATTCGGTTACTTTCTGGCTGTTGCTAAAATCGATAATCTTGAGTACAAAATTCGATGAATAGAATGAGTTTTGTGATGCTACTTATATTTTGTGAAGACTTACTGAGCAATGCTGCTATATTTCCTTAATTTGCTGTAACAATGAGTTAGTCATACCATTTACTAAATATTTACTTAACTCTGAAGTGAAGTTCCAACATTTGTTTCCAATGACGTTATGGCCTCAAATGTCAGTAGAATTCAAAACATCGCGAAGAAAAAATGTTCAAATAGAAATATTTGAGAATACAATATATTTGTTTTAGCATGGTATTCCAGAGCTAGAACGAATTTGTAAATTATATTGAAACAATTAATATATTTCAATTTTAATTTTTTGTATTCATAATTGTTACTTGAGTAGAAAAAGCAAAAAATCTTTGATATAAAACTTATACATGAAGATCCGCTCACAATTGAATTAATTGCGAAGCCGCTTCGGAATAATTCAGGAATCATAATCAAGATAATATAGAAATTAAATCATCCTTATTATGCTTAAATGTGCCTTACATTATTTACGAGGGCAAACTGTTATTATCTTGAATCCTTCCCATGCATCAATGGAGTCCAAAAGATTTTGTGTCAAGGGAAGTGCTGTTATTCATTAAAAAACACATAAAAAAGTCATTTAGTTCATGATGAATTGCCACACATTTCTTCAAGATATAGTTTTTAAAATATTAATAATTGAACAAATTCAATATTTTTAAATAATTTAATGTAACAATAACTAAAAATATTTATTATAATTTAATTAAATTCTTAAAAATATTAATGATTTAATTTTTGACAATAATTTCGGAGAAGATTGTCTCTGCATAAGATAATTTTAATAAATATTTGAAGATATACCTCTAAATCTTCTAATTTGGATCAACATTAAATGCTAGAGTTGCGTAAAAAAAGATATCGTTTTATTTTTCAGTAATGGTTTGTCTCCTGTTTATATACTGCTTGTATGACACCGCAATTCAAAGGTCCTTGCTCCCGGTTTGGAAAAATATAGGGATTATTTTTTTTTGTTTGATTATTGGTGATGAATGTACTATGAACTTCATAGTAACATTCATGATATTTTAGCAATTGGAAATTCAAACACTGAACAAATGGGGGGGAAAGTTATTTGATATTCAATAGGAACTTCACTGAAGTTCTTTAGTACTTTTGATTCGGAAAGTCTGATTTTGGTTCGGAAAGTCTGATTTGTCGGCTCTCAAGAAAACATAACTTTGAAGTCATTAAGAGTTTTTGTATGACATTGAGATACACAAATTGCATGAGTGATCCCTCCATTGAGCAAGCACCATCAAATGAATCACTCCACAATTTACTTAATATTAGAAGTCGTGTTTATGAGACATTTTTCTTCCTGTCTGGTAGAAACGAGTTACTTTTGGTGAAGACTTTTCGTAGCTTTACGAGACGATAACAATTTTTGAGCCTTTCAATAATAAAAGCTACTTTTAGTTAAAAATGTTTTTTTATATTGAAATTAATCTTAATCAGACATGGTTTATAAAAGGAAAATATTTTTCCACATTAGCAAATGAAAACTGATAACTGCTATAACCAATAACTATATCAAAGAACGCTCACAACAAAATCTGCTTTATTAATTTTAAAGTTTGTTGGCAGCCTAGTGTCGTTTATATATATAATATATAAATATATATATAGTGGCTTTTTCATTGCTTATCCACTAAACAATAAGTACATAAAGGCTGTTTTACTGCCTATCCACGGCGAGGTATAACCTAAACCTGAAAATTAATTCGAAAATATATAATTCAAAGCTTTATAAAATTCAAGGCTTTTTAATTCGAAATATATTAATTCAAAGCTTTGAAGAAATATTGGATTAAAAATTTAATTTTTTAAAATGGAAATGTATAACTTTAATTCGGAAAACTCTGAATCGATCTTTCGTATGTAGGAATGAGATTTAAATGGGAGTTTCTATTACATACAAAATATGTGTTTGAAAGGATTATAAAATTGTAGGATTATCGCTCTCGGGCAACGTAAGGCAAACCTGCTACTATATTATACATATGAAAGAATTTAATCACCTCGCTAGTCATGGTATTCTAGTGTTGAAAAAACTGTCGAAAAACAGGTTGAAAAAACTTTGCCGTAGCGTAGTTCTCATCTCAAAACTAATCTCTGGTATTTTCTGTCCTGAATTAATTTAGATTGAATTGAATCTAAGAATTTAAAAGCAAAGAAAAGTCCACAAAAATTCATATCTTTATAGAAAACGTTTTGGAGACCAGCTCCATCGTCAGTTCGTAGAATCTAGAATCACAAATCAGAAGTCACAAATTAATACATTGAAAGCACAGAACAAAATTAAAACCTAAATTTACAAGTAATAGACGGAGCAAAAAAAAAAAAATAACTATCTATTAACATTTTCAAGGGGATAGGATAATAACTTGTTGAATTGAATCTAACTTCACGGTTGTTAGAACTTCCAAAGATCACAATCAACCGACATGTTGTCTGTTGATAATAACTATCAGCAGTTTAATTTAGTGATGGACGTCAATTGCTCCTCATGATTAATCAGGAATTTCAGACTGTAACCCTAAAGCGCTCATTTCGTGATTTCTCATATTTTCAACCTCTTGCGATAAATGTTTCCTGATATAAAATATTCACCGTTGAAATGTACAGCATAAAAAATTAGTTTACCATTTTAAACGATGGAACTAGCATCATTATTAGTTCCAACATTACACTATCATTGTCCATGGAATCAAATATAACGAATTACAATGTCAGCACAGGAATTTTTCCTAACACATATTAGCTTTTAGATTTAAATTTTATCATGTGAGTTTCTGCAAAGATAAACAAAATTCAGTTTGCTCAAAATCGCGTCCTGTATAATAATTTTGATGCAGACTTTCATTCGCAAATTCAGAAACTCTCGGGTCATTTAATGGAATTGTCTTCGTTCGATCATTACGCGATGTAAGAAATAAGCGAAGTTCAGGTGAAAAATCTTCGTGAATTTGTGAAAATGAAATACTTGTAGTTTCTGTCAAAATTTAATTCATTTCTGCATTCGCAGTGCAGCTTTAAATAAGTGAAATTCAGGTGAAAAATCTTCGTGAATTTGTGGAAATACTTGGTAGGTTCTGTTAAAAACGAATTTATTTCTGCATTCGCAGTTCGGCTTTAAATAAATTTTTGTTAATTGCAATTGTTAATTGGCCCCAATTGCTTACTGTCTCTCTTTCTCTGTATATTAGTCTGTGTATACCTTGTATTTTTTCTCTGTATAATTGTCCAGTTATACCCTCTATTTTGCTCTGTATATATGTCTGTGTTCACCATTTTGGCTTTGTTTCAGGTATATGCTGTATATGTAAATGATTTTCAACCGAAGATAGTTTGAGAGATAAATAACTATATACCAACAATTATATTTGTGTTAATATTTAATTTTGTGGTCGATTTAGCTTAATCGTTATAATTTTGAATACTATTTGGGTAATTTTTTCGTAGAAATTGAAAATTTGTGATTTCTTAAGTATTTCAAGTTGCTGCTCACAATTTTCGTTCAGAAACTGACTTTTTATCTAATTTTTATTCATCATTAGGAGACCTTTATATTTATTATTTCATTTCGAAGTCATTATTTCTTCATTACTAATTGTTTACCTTCTCCAACGTGCGGGATTTATCGAAAAGTTTTTATTTTCAAATCTGTTTTTTCAGATGGTATAAAAATTAAGGATCAAATTACCTACTCGAAAAGATACTTTTTTATATTTTATGCCTGACATTTTTAGGAAAAGGTAACAAAAAAAAGCTTTTGTTTTGAAATTATGAAAAATGCAGATCATAGTACCTTTTCGTGAAGATACTTCCTTTAAATTTTATGTCCTAAATTTTTAAGGAAAGGTGACAAAAAGAATAAAGTTCAGAACATATGTACTAAATATAAATGTATCACCGACACACACATATATCACAGTAGGTCGTACTTGCTAACATTAAAACACAAGTTAACAGCATTCATTTGATCGAGTGAATGAAAATAAATATTATTGAAATGAAGAAAATCTATCGTCAGCGTTGAGTTACTTTTGGTATTCGCAAATATATAATTTACGCGAACACAATTCTAAACTCTAAATTATTAAAAAAAATTATTATACCACTTGTCGCTCTTTTTTGACAGTGAAGAATGAGTAAAGTCGTATGGTTTTCGAGGATTTCGAATTATGCAGTTTTAACGAAATTTGCATCTATGATTACCCATGTTAATGGACTGCTTCCTGGACGAGGTTTAAAGAATTTTAGAAATATTTCTTGAATTCTTCCAGTTGACTACTTAAAATTTCAGTATCCTAGAAAATTAATAAAAAAATTTAGAAATATTTCTTCAATTCCGAAGGAATATTAAATTATTTATTCAATTCGACTACGGAAAATACAGTATCTTAGAAAATTAATAAAAAAGTTATACGAAGAGATTCCACAATAATCTTACAACTGACTAGGCTTAGCGGATAGTTTCGACTGTTCACATTTGTTCAGAATAATAAGTTCAGTAGAGTGATGAGTGTTATATCTACACATCAAAGAGTTAAGAAGTTTAGTCGGTGAAAGTTTTCTGTATCTCGGCGAGAATTTACTTCGATGAATTTTGACTTCCTTCAGGAAAGAATTGAAAGAAACGCTGACCGAATCACAATCATCAGCCGCAGAAACTTCAGAGAATTTAGCTTCGTGGATTTGCGCCGCTGATTTTCCTTCAGCTTCTGAAACTTGTCTTTGGTGTCCAAGATCGCTTTTGTTGCCCGCTAGCATAACAGGAACTTCCAGTCTACTCGAAGATATCTTCTGTAAAGTCGATTTGCCTTCATCTAAGGAAGATTTGTCTGTGATGCTGTAGACGACGATGAAGGCTTCAGCCCACTGTAATACTTCATCTTTCAGGTCCTTACCAGAACAGTCCAATAACTCGACATTTTGTGGGGATCCCGAGAGCGATAGAACTGAGCGGTACAGCATATCTGCAAAGAAAATTAATGGAAAATTAGCGATCATGTAAAATTTATTCGATCAACGGATACGTTGATATGAAAAATATTTAGAATGTCACGAAAAATGAATGATTTTAATGTTTTGTGGCCAATATTTTTCTGAATAAAAATACGGGCAAAATTTTTGGCGTTTTTATTAGCAAGAAATCTACGATTGATGTTAGTTTTCGAAAAAAATTTCATCTGAACGCCTTACAGGATTGTCAAGTAGAAATTTTAATGGAAGCTCAAACCATGTAAATTCCAGATACATATGATCACCACTTTGGCTCGAACCCGTACAAAATATATGTAAAAGAACTCACCGGAATCAGAGCGATATTCTCCAATAAATCGCTTGGTGAGGAATCGCACGGTTAGTGCAGATTTTCCCACATTGTTTCCCCCAACAAGCGCGACTCTGAGGGGTCGTCCGCACCAACGCTCCTCGCTCCGCAGACGTCGGCGCTGCTGGAGCGGCGAGCTCGAAGTTTGTCGGCACTGACACGAGATGCTTTGGCTCCTCTGGCGGTTAGTGGACTTCTTCAGGTAGTTTTTGATGTCTTCCAATACCCACAGAGGAATACAAGATATTTGTTGGCCTTGGCCGGTAGTCATGTTGACGGAAAGATAGACTTTGCGAAGTCAATGCGTTTGATAAAATTCGTACAGTCACTGCAACGTGATTCCGATCTCGCAGAACTAGCGGCTTGTCACTGGAGAGCTTTTCTTTAGGATCACATGCACGGGAAGGAGCTGTTCGCAACTGGAACGCAGAGAAGAGGAGGGCGCTTATATACCCACGCGGTGGCCTTTCTGCGGAATATTGGCTGATGCAGGATGTCGCCATATCCTGAAATTTGTCCTGGTTTTCAGCTGACTGGAAATTTTCCAGACATAACGCCCATCTTCCTTTCTGAAAACCGATGTTTGTTTTTTACGCGAGGAATCTTAGAATCTTTATTACTAACTGGACAAATTTCCGTGTAAACTTTTAATCAACACTTGCGTTCATTTGGGAGATTCAAAATTTTTGAACAAAGAATTCAAATAATTACTAATTTTTCCTTAAAAACCTGTGCTAAAAACTAATTATTTAGCGCATGCCGAATTTTTGCAGAAAATAAAAAATGTTTTCGAAATATATGGCTATAATTTATTATTAATTCCAAAAATTAATTGAAAAAATAAAAAAATTACTGATGTTTTATTGATGCTACTGTTTTGCCTGATGTTTTATTGATGCTACTTGATTTTACTGCGGCACGGATGCATTCAACGAATGTGTTGATAAATGAAAGAGGGATATAACATTTTCCCTTTTGTCGAGTTTGAACTTCCCACAATTTTGTGCTTGCTGACACTTCATTTATGGATGAATGTCATGCATTTAAACGCGCATCTATTCAATGTTTTAAATCATATTCCTTTCCAGTATATATAATAAATCTCTAGAGTAAACTCTGCTAAAGGATTTGATTTTCTGCATGAATTTCTCTAAACCCGATATAGATATTTTATTGTGTTTTTGCTTGCAATAATAAAAATTTTTGCTGCATTTAAATTAATAATTGTTCTCATGAGATAACATTTTCGTTATCAAAATCTTTTAATTGTCAATTATCAGTCATGTTTTATTATATGCAGGCGTGACTGTTTCGTTCAGAAATGCGCTCTATATGTTGCGGGTTACATTAAGTTTTCAGAAAAACTTCATACAAAATTTTTCGGAATTCAGCTTCATGATCATAATTCTACAGAACCACGATCAATTATAATCATGCCCGGAGTTTCAAACACCGATTTCATTATTAGCATTCGATTAATAATATATAATAATAATAATAATAATAATAATAATAATAATAATAATAATAATAATAATAATAATAATAATAATAATAATAATAATAATAATAATAATAATAACTGAACATCAATTACTAAAGATTTTGTAACAATTATAAGTCGCGTAATGTGAGTTAACGCAATCCTCTTACGCGGCTGAGCTCCACGCCCACAATGACGCGAGATCGATACGCACGCAAGTCCAACGGTGCGTAAACTTGCAAGTGCCACGATGCTTTTCCGTGTTTTTTTGCTTCATCACCAAAAATGTTGTGGAGATAATTAAGAGTCCAAGTTGAAGAGATGGATCGAGATTAAAATTTCAGTCCTGGAATTTTCTGGATGCTTCTGTGTTGTGGTGGTGATGAGTGTGATGGTGAAGTGGGTAGGGTATGAAACAGCGCTGCAGCTGCAGGGTATGAAGCAGCGCTTCAGCTTCATGGCATGAAGCAGCACTGCAGGGTATGAAGCAGCGCTTCAGCTTCATGGCATGAAGCAGCACTGCAGGGTATGAAGCAGCGCTTCAGCTTCATGGCATGAAGCAGCACTGCAGGGTATGAAGCAGCGCTTCAGCTTCATGGCATGAAGCAGCACTGCAGGGTATGAAGCAGCGCTTCAGCTTCATGGCATGAAGCAGCACTGCAGGGTATGAAGCAGCGCTGCAGCTGCAGGGTATGAAGCAGCGCTTCAGCTGCAGGGTATGAAGCAGCGCTGCAGCTGCAGGGTATGAAGCAGCGCTTCAGCTGCAGGGTATGAAGCAGCGCTGCAGCTGCAGGGTATGAAGCAGCGCTTCAGCTGCAGGGTATGAAGCAGCGCTGCAGCTGCAGGGTATGAAGCAGCGCTACAGCTGCAGGGTATGAAGCAGCACTTCAGCTGCAGGGTATGAAGCAGCGCTACAGCTGCAGGGTATGAAGCAG